TTAAGAAATGAGATAATTCGTCAAGTTTAAGTTTAACTACAATAACAATTATCAGCGTTAAAAACAAATTATACTTATAATCACCCAAACTAAATATTTGTAAACGTTGTAAGACGTGCGAATAATAAGACACGAGTAAAAAATATACGTTATATCATAGCTGAAAAAAATTGATGAAAACGCGATTCTTGAAAAATGCACTATAACCGTTTACAAGCTACGCATTCCCTCAATTATGTAACAATAGTAAATGACACATGATTTTACATACGCATGTAACACTCTTATTTAAAATTTCTAAGGATATTTTTAAAGAAAAAAGTAAGAACATAACAAATTCAATGCAGAACTTGACAAATTAATAAAATATTATACATTATTATTATAATTAATAGAATCGTACATATGTGGTCATCACTGTAGTTTTGAAATAGTTCTATACTATATTCATAGCATATTCGATAGCAATATCATCACCATTTGCATTAACAAAAGTACCGATAAACTATTTATAAATACTTGATAATGTATATAAATATATTCTGATTTCGAATAATTAAGTTTGCAGACTGATCTTTTTATGCATCTGTTATCTAATAAACAAGAAAAAAGTTCAAAACCCTATTACTTGATTACGGATTGTTTAAATACAAATATAAACATGATACAGCAATAAATTTTTGAATTGTTCTTAATATCTATGGTTTCTTCATTATATTACATTCCTTAGCTTTTATAACATGGCCTAACCCTAAATAAGAGAATGCGAGCTCATAATTTGTTTCTATTCCAAGTCCTACAACTCAGTGGTTACACATTCCCGTTTTGACAGTTAACGCTTTTATTTGGACTGAAAGATTTTATCAAAACATCGAACCGTAAAACGCTCTACCCAACCTAAAATGAAACACCCGAATTTTATTGCTGGGATAAAAAAAACTAGTCTACAAAAACTGTTTAAAGAATAAAATATGACTTCAGTACAATATGTTTTATTTACAATACAATTATGTATTTCAAATGAGACAGTTAGCAAATACAAAACCTGGTGTCAGTAAAAATTACTACAACATAGAAACCAAACACGTGTTAAAGCAATCAAGGTTAAAACAAAAGTAAAAAAGGATGGAGTTGGAATTAACACCAAATGCAAAGTACAACAGCAACTGAGTAGGTCTCCATGGTGACGCATGCTCGGTACAAAGCTATCGATTTTTCTCCCTTGACTAAAAGTACTGATAAAGCCCCCCGTGCAAAAAACAGTACTCACTCCCAATGGACCACACTACTGCTGCAGTAGTCACCCTCTTCTTAGGTAGTAATTCCCATGTTTTCAAGGTCAGTGTTTTACAACAGGAATCTATCGTAACCCCCGTCACTACAATCTATATTTTACTGCAACACTGATAATTACTAATAAAAATTATAGCTGATTCCATAAAAATATCAAGATTTATGTGATATTCCCACCTCCTTAAATTTAAAAGCGTTTTTGAGCACAATTTATCAATTTTTGAGATTTCATTTTTTTAAGTTTTTAGCTTAAATTTTATTGTTTTTATGACAAACATAAGTTCTAAATTTTTACTCCGTCAACGAACTAGAAATTTTTTTTTTTTGAAGCACAATGTGTCACGTATATGCCATTTGAATGAGCTCAAATCCCTACATACTCTCGTTTTCAATACATGCGATGCTCGCGTTTTAGCTAGTAATAATATTTTTAATTATAACAAATAAGACCTATGTAACGCTCTGAATACATGCAACAATATAAATATACAAGAATAACAATAATAGTGTTAAGCATACGTGTACAATATACAAGTACAATACACCGTAACTAAGATTCCATACAAAAGAATAAGTATAAGTTTACTCAGAAGATTTTATCCAATACACCGAGAAGCCGTAAAGAACCGCGATGCTTTGTAGCTGTGATCAAACGGTGTCCAAGTATACGATGTGAACTATTTTAATCATTATAAATCGAACATCGTCAAGTATAATAAATCAATGCAAATATTAAATATTTTATGTTGTGCACAAAAATGTCTTATGATACTATTTAAATTACTCCATTCAAAATTAAATAAATAAATCAATTTAAAATGAAAGTTTCAATGAGTTTTGCAAAATGAACACAAAAACTCGAGTGTTAAAGTACTAGTAAATAAATGAATAGATATTTGAAATTAATTTAGGGTAGGTTATAACGCCACTCGAGAACGTTAAGCTGGACAGTTTACTAAAATTAATGCGATTAGGTTTAACGGTAAACAAACGCGTTAAAAAAATAGGAAAAAGATAATCACATACCAAAATAGTCACTCCAATGAACATCTACTTCGAAAACCAAATCCCTATTTTTTTTTTTTTTACTTTGCTCTATATCATTAATTATGTTAACATGAATAAATAATTTAATCCCATAGAAAAAATCTGTCCGACACAAATTATTAACCCTTTTAAAATTATATTGATATAAAAATGCCAGTATTTAATTAATATCAATAAATATTGAATGAGATGATAAAAACACATGCGTTTTATAAAATCCTGATAATTCAACTAAACACATTCCCTCATTTAGTACCAATGAGAATTTAATCATTTCAATGACCTTCATCCGATACAAATAACATTAAACAATAATTTAACTTTTCAATAGCTTTAAGTCTGATTAAAATTCGTCGAATCCACAATAAGTAATAATTTTACAATTCAATAAAACAATTAAAACGTAATAACTAATATCAGAACAATTGCGATATTTTTTTTCATTAATGAAACGAAACACATCGGTCATTTATGTATAATAAATATTGCTTAACTTATACACAGCTCGTTAACGGATTTCTTAAATCCTGTCGATTATTGGCAATAATCATTATAAACAACTACTTATTAACATATAAGTAATAATTTACATAAAATTATTTTGCGTATTATCAAAAATATAAAAAAAACCTCTAGTTTTTTAGTAAAACAAAAAACAGAAAAATAAGTGAATGGCGCATAAAATCAGGCTTGTAAACTTAATTATCAAAATGTTGCATTTCATACCATTTACCACACACCGATGTTTATTCGACACAAGAACGTTGACTTAAATGAAACCGCACATAATTAAAAATCAAATGCATCCAGAAATCACTCACGTGAATTCGACCGGAGTAGATTAGCGCAACTTTTGACGAATAAAAAAGAACGACAGTCATCAGGAGTGTACCGTACACCGAGTAACTGCTGCAACATTACTTATGCGAATGTCATGGTAGTGAATGGTTTATCGTGTGCCGAAGAAAATAAAAGGAGGAGAAAAAGAAACGGGTGCCGTTGCAAGGAAGATGCTGTGACAAAATGGGTCATCCAATTGTTGAACACTCTCAAGGCAAACTATACGGACATCAGACGATAAAATCTCAAGTACACACAATATTTTACATGCTATTCAACCGCCACAATAGCAAAGATATAGTCGCTCACGATCATGTGTTAAATTTTAATCGGCAGCACAATGTTTTTTAAACGCTTTTCATGCGTCCGCTGACTTGTCACCGCACAAACGCCGACATATTGGTCGATCTATCTTTTACATAATTACTCCGAAATGTTTTACAAATAGTAGACACGTTGAATTCTTAGATTGTTGATGACCCGTCTAATTGTAGCACTAGTGGTATTGTTAAAGAATTTTCTATAATTTAAAAAAAAAATACACAACACACGTTGTTGCGACATTTGTTAGAATCTCATACCTTACACGAACATTTAATAAAACACTGGTTGCGAAAGAGTAATACTATCATAGCGATAGAGTAAGAACAATTAAATACATGTGAGCATAATCACAGATGAAGTTTTATAAAAATTCAATGTTCAGATATAATAACAGATATCATAAAAAAATGATAAAAGTCCTAGTATATTATTATTGATATACGAAGAAGTTTTTAGTTAATAAAAAAACTTAAAGGTATTGTGTCAGTAAAAATTACACTGGTTAAAAAAAGACATGAAAGGTTTCACTACACATCTGGAGTCTACGACGATTACTTTACCGATTGAAACTGGAAGGGTCTCTATCAGCATGTTACAGTGTTTTCTCGGCGAGTTACGCACTGAAGTTTCTAAAGAAATTATTCTCTTTAACTATACTTGGAAACGCTATCGCCATAAGTCGCCTCCCAGTAGTTCATGGCCCCGTACTAACATTATCGGTAAGTCTACTTTCTGTAATACATTTTGAAAGGTTGTATCATTCCAATTCAATTAAAATAACTGTTCATTGATAAAATAATTGCGGACAATAATGATTAACGCTGATAATTCAAATATATAAAAGTAGGTAGCATTAGCTGTTATATATATGTATATATAATATTTATCTATAGATATCTAAAAAAACATACAATTAAAATGTAATTTTAAAGATTGAAACACGTCAATTACTTAAAGTAGCACAAGAAACTAAAATTCAGACAATTAAAATATCAACTAATATGACGAATAATGAAATATTATCATTCAACAGAAAACCTAACTGTTTCAAGAAACACTTAGTGGCCAGTGGCGTATTAGCAATAGGCGGTAAGCCCTTAAGATTTTTGATTTATAATAAACAGTAGTTCTTCCAAAAGCGTAAAGCTTTCCAATCCTTCAAATTATTTTTAATCAAGCCAAAATAAATTTTAAAAACGCCCTGTTCAGAGATACTTTAAAAAAAGTTGTTTTACAATTTGTTACTTCGACTAAGAAAATTTTCAATAGTCTTAGTAAATAGATTTACCTAACACGGTATAACAGCGACGAGGTTTTGTTCATTAGCGAGAAAGGTCCATTATACTGTTAAGATAACGTTATCCTAATCCTCGTCAATTGGATGATAAGTTTCTCAATGCAAACTTTTTATCAAATTACCAGTATGACGGATCCAAATTCAACCTAATTCAATCGCAACTTAATATCTTACTGTACAAAAAATGAAAATATCTTGCCTTTGTGCCTAACACGGGCTTAGGTGCGGGAACAGGAGGTGCAATCCCAGCGGAGGTGCCACTTCCACTGTTGTTGATTGGTTGTGATTGTACTGGCGATTGCTGTTGCAGGTCCTCAACTGGCTGCCCGCCCTGTTCGAATAACCTTTGACGTTGAGCCAGACGCTCCATACTGGCCAGGCGGTAAGCGGCGGCTGCACTAGGCGTATAGGACTTTGGCAATGTGGGCGGAGGTGTCGGTTTGGCGACACTACCGTTGCTCGTCACACCACTATCGCCGTTCATATCACGAATAAACGACACTTAAATTCAATGTATTCAAAGGAATAACACGAAAAAAAATTCAAAAACGAAGACGGCCTCTCATAACAGGGACACGCACGCCGTATCAGCGTAGGGACTGGTGCGCGGTGTGAGCGCTATCTCCTAACTGCTGATCAACCTAAATGTGCCGGTGGTATGCATACGAGGGGATTTGGAGTTACAAGCACAAGCGGTAAACAGCGTTGGCTTACGCGCCAGATGTTACAGTGTTACCATAAACATACTTCCAGACTACCGTAAAATGTATGTAAATGCCCAAATATATAAGAAATACTAACACTAGTAAGATATCTCATAAATAGCCCAAAAATTACCATACACAGATGAACCGTTTTTACACAACAAAAAAAATGTTCGCTATTCGTATTTGAATTTGTATCGATATAACAAATACGTCTTCTAAATATTATTATTCAAATATTTAACGAGAAACCCATTATAACGATTAATATCTAATTTTTAAGAAATTAATCACTTTTTGCAACATTAAAAAAGGAATAGACCAAATAAATACTTGAAATCCTATCTACAAAAAAATAAAATATGATGGAAGGAAAATAAAATAAAACTTCATTTTTTAAAATAGGTTCAAGAGGTTTACAATAACGAAATGAGAAATGCTATTTTTCATAATATTTCTACTAGAAAAAAATACTTCAAGAAAACAAAATCATACAATTATAACAAATATATTTAGTAGAAACACTTACTATTGCTTGTTTTATGTATATATACTTTTTTAAGTTCTCCATTTGTTCACGTGTTTTAACTGAATATAAATGAAAAAAATATCACCATACAAAAGAGAAATCAAGTTCTTAATAAATAATATTTTAAGAATTTACTAACATGTTATTTATTCTGTAATAGTCACGAACACTGATACACAACTAAGCACAACCCCTCGGTTGGTACAGAAACGGTACAACTTCAAATATGGACTCACTTCCGATCCAAATAAAAATAAATCAGTTCACAAGTCTGTTCCTCAAACTAACAATGTTAAATAAAAGAAAACAACTTCGTTTAAATTCATTATCATTTTGTTACATTAATACTTGAATTAAGCATAAAACCGAATTATTGATTAATTTTTGGAATTAAAAAACAATAATTAACAATATATCGTCGCACTTTTGCTAAAAGTGTTCAAGTCTAAAAAATTACTAAGTGAAATAACATCCATAACCACCTCATATACCCTTCTACGTATATAGTTTTGTTACGTAGTAACTCGGTACTTAATTTTTAAAAACTTTTACTACTCAAAACATTTCTAATAATGGTTAAAAATGCATGGTTTCAATAAAACAAATAAAAATGTTATATTTTTTTATATTATTAAACAAAGTTTTAACATAGAAACTATATTATTAATATATTTTAATAGACGGTTATATCAAATGTAAAATAACAGACTTTCAATAGATAGCGAGATATTTGACACTCGTTAAAAGTAAATTAAAAATATAAAATATTATAATAATTTAAACATGGGCGTTATAAAACTTAAATATGAAAAGTATCCAAGACCGGCACTAAAAATCGCGAGACTTGATGCAAAAATATTTTATAGAGCTCCTCTTACTTTTTTTTATTCGAACCAATATTGATATTCAGGTAATTAATTTTGATGCCACTTGTCCTAGTTTTACTATAAAGTAGTAATATAAAAATACCGTATTTTATTTCCAGAGAAATAATACATGTATTATATACGTGTTACTTTTTATATAATATGTATTATATAAAATAAATACTAGATTATTTATAATTACATAACAATTAAATCAATCATTTAAAAAAAACCAAAAATCAAAAAATATTATTTAAAAATAAATTGTTGCAAAATTTCTAGCAAACGGTATAAAATAATAAATACGATTTCAAATATTATTTCGATATTTTATTGAAAGAAATAAATATTTCTACTTCATCAAGTCAGAAATTTGAAAAGCAACAAGTCGAACATATTTTATCTCAATATTTTTTTTTAGGGAATTAATTTGCAACATTTGTTGTGATCCGTTGATACTATTATAAAATAATAATTTTGATTACAAAAAGCCAAGTTTTGGGCTATTATTATTTTTGAATTTTTTATTAACCAAATATTTGAGAAAGGTTAGAACCATCATAAAGGCTACCTTAATTACCGTAATATTTTTTTTTTAATAAATTGATGGACAAATATAAGATTCAAAACATTAGTTGATTGAGATTTTTAAAACTATAACCCTCTTCTTTTAAGTAAATACGTCACTGACTAAAGACTATTACACATATAAATCGCTTTAGCTAATTTTCCAGAAAAGATAAAAAAAATGTCGTAAATATTGTATATTTTCTGTAGAACTGTAATTTTTAAACACTATGTTTGATTTTTGGGTGATCAGATTTGATTCTATTTTGCAATAAATTATGCGTTTACGACTTTTTAATACAAAATTATAAAATTAGATTTACCCCCTTTCTGTAGTTTATTTAATGAAGTTAGCTAAATAAGCAAAAGTTAATTTTCGAATTATCTTTTGCTGGAAGGAAAATAATAAAATACGGTCTACATAGATATAAAAACAAATATTTATAAAGTTAGAGTTTGAGTTAAAAATATAAGAAACTATTTTTTTAACTTGTTTTAGAGACCTTTTATTATTTAAGGATAGACCAAATATTTAGAAACTATTTTGGTATCCGACGTATTTAGAAATAATTATATACAGTTATTCGGTGACACTTATAATTATTAGATCAAGTTTTATTTGATCGAATAGTTCAAAAAAGTAATAATATTTAAATTAAATAATAATTTTTTTTTATTAAAGTTTATAGCTTCTTTTTTATATTGGAATTAATATTTATATTATTATTATTATCATTGGCGTATTAAGGGTTTCAGAGCCCTGGGACAGTTTTAATTTGATATCACCCATGACATAATTTGTTGAGCAAAAAAAACATTTTTTTTAACTTGCCTCAAAAAAAATGTTTGGCTACCTCACTATTATAACGCTTAAATATCTCATTAATTATTAATCTTAGAATATGCATAAACAAAAAAACATAACATACATTCTATAAGTCTCAGATGCATCTTAAGAACACCTATTTAAACAAGCCACCGATTATTATTATTACTCTTTAACGTCCTCTTTGAAAAGCTATGCTCGTATTAAAAAATATGGGAAAACTTACATAGCCTAGCGCAACAAAATCAATCCCTGATCATACGCATCAAGCCCAGAGGCATTATTTGATGACTGAATGGTTATGCGATCGTACTTTCTGACTTTTCAGTGGCCCACAAAAATAAAGCACTAAAATATTTAACCAGTATTCGTAATCACAATGTAAATGAATTTTATACCTTGTTGATAATATTCTTATATTTTCTAAATTACTAAAAATAATACATACAATAGGTTTTTAAATAAACACGTTTTAACAGAATGGTCTTTCTACAAATATAATATCGGAATGTGCATAAATAACTCACTTTTCTAGAGATCAAAAATAAATTATAGGAAACACATCCTTCATGTTTATCTATTTTATAAATAGTTCAATTACAATTCAAGGTGAATTCTTGATATTTTGATGAAATTTGATACAAGAAGAGTAAAATTTAAATTCAAGAACCTCACAATTTAAAAATCCAATTTTTTTAGTTACTGACTTATTCGTCGCACAAAGCGATATAATATATGTTCTACATTACTATATAAGTTATGAAAAAATGTGTTCAGAAGTGTTCATAAAGAGTAGCTGGACCTATTGTATTCGAATTATTGTATTTATAAGTCCATGGATTTATCCATTTTAAGAAAATCCACCATGGTAACAGTATTATCCATGTAATATTAACAAGTCTAGTTAATCAGTCCATCTTGTTATCACTTTACACTTCCATACTAATCAATATATTTAATAATTGAAATGACATTTGATTAAACTTAGATATGAAATCAATAAGTTGTTAATAAAAAGATTTTATGGTAATAAATTACTTTAATTATAATAAAAAATTATAAATTAATATTGATTAATAAACAATGAAGGTACTGTGTAGCTCAAAGACAAAAATAAAAATTATTAGCTGTTGCTTTATCATGTCATAGAATTTCTAATTACAAAAGTATTAAACCAAAAAATGTATTAATTAATTAAACATAAATTTAGGTGAATAATCCAGTTGAAAAAGCATATGTAAATAATATTGATCTATTAAAAGCTGCACACCTGCAGCTATTACTAAAATAAAAATAAATACATATTTTTTAATTTTAATATTTTTACTTATCTCTATTAATATATTATAATTGTTTCATTTTTGCTATAATAACTTACAAGTATATTTTATACATTAATTTCATATAAGATTGGTGATTTTTAATGTAAATTTGTTTTTATTATATAATTTACTTATAATTTTCAGCAAAACAAACTTTTTTATTCGATAATTTAAATTTAAAGCAATTAAACTTTTGTTTCACTTAAATTTCCTTTATGCAACATGAAAATTGATAAAAGTTGTATTTTTTTTTTTTTTTTATCAAAAACTGGTATAATTGTTCTAAAAATATATCAAGGTGACTCACTAAAATGATCACACCCTCTAAAAACCTAAAATGACACCACAATGGATTCCCGACTAAGCTAAGAAGGCCTCCATCAAATAAATTTGAAAAAGTATATAGGATACTCATTCAAATCTATTCAATATAAAATATTATTAATATATTTAAAAAACTAATTAATACATTTTATAGTAACATTTAAATTTCCTGAATAAAAGAATACTAAATATTCTGCACCGGATAATACCAAATATTATTCAAATTATATTCATATATTATCAAATTTGCTTTTAAATACCAAATAATATCAAGTTTAAAAATACAGCTTTAATGTGTAACAAAAAAAAATTTTGTTTTTTGTTTTATCGAATTTACTGACTAGGCCTATCACTTTTTTTAATAAATAGTTATTTATTAGAGTGCCAGAAAAATAATTATTAAGAACTGATAATTCTTTTAATTAATTTTAAAATTCTAATTAATTTAACTTTTCAATAAACTTGACATAAACCCAATGTTAACATTCATAGAACATTAAATAGAACTTAAATGAAAAGTTTAAACAAACTATTGAGGAAAATTTTTTTTTGAGTTCACTTAGCAAAAGGTCACTATTTCCTCTACTCAAGGAAAAGCATCTCAACTATCTACAATAAAAAAATCACTATTGATGCACCTGCCAAAAATAATACAAAATATATTTACTTAAAATTTTAGACTGATATAAACCTATTGATAATTTTTGAGATCAATTCAAAATCTTCTTATTATTTTATAGCTAAAATAATAATTCTAAAAAAATGTAAATAAAAGTATACACCAAACAATGATTTTGCATTAGTATAAGATAAACTTTATTCGAGTATATTAATATATACTATTACAATCGCATACCTAAAATTTATCATTAAGAAAAAGACTAATATCATAAAAAAGTTGGTAATTTTTTTACATAAAATGTTGGTTTTGTATAGCCAATAAGAAGGGCTTGGTTCATTTAGCTGGCTAAACCTAATCTAGGTTATACTTCTAAACTATTATATACTTGTCTAGTGCATGAGAATATTAATATAGAAATTGACATTAAATTCATATATTATTTCACTAAATTGAAGTGTTAATCTATCAATATGACATTTTCTACAAAGCTTATCTAAATATTATTAAATATTTCAGATTTATGACAATAACCTTTAAAACATTATTTAACATATTTTTATGATACTTAGTACTTACAGCTGTATAACAATTCCCACATTTTCAGAAATCAATACATATTATCAAAACATAAAAAAAAAAAAAAAAATTAATTAAATAATAAATCATTGACATGCAATGGATACAATAATTATTAAAAAAAAAATGATGCAAACATATTAACTCAATGTCTAAAGGAAAATACCATTACTTGGCATGATTACTTTGCATCACCCTACAACCATAAGTTAATTCCAATAACAACATTTCTAAATAAAAATTTTCTTACCGCTTCTCTGCATGATTGTTACAACAGTTAGTCAACTTATAAATTAATGATTCTAATGATTGACGAGATTTTAGTGATGAAGAATAATGTACACACAAATAATTCAAAAATATTTATTATCATCAAAAGCGGAAAACACGAACGGTAAAAGTAAAAACAATAACATTCAATCTATGTGGAAGGGGACCGGATTGGTAAGCGAGGGTTTAGAATAGTAGCCATGGAGGAAAAAAAACGGTCGATTTTAAGATGACTTCAAAAATCGATAATTATATTTCAATGAAATTGATTTTATACATCAATATTTCTACCAACGTATATTTTGCAAATTAATTACTCAAATTATGTAACTTATGATAGCTAAATTTATTTAAGCACGCAGTATTAAAATGATTTATTATGAATTCATTTTTATGTTTTATTAGGTTATGTCGTTATATCATTATGTAATCTAATATCAATAATATTGATAACTTAATAACCAATTCAAAAAAAGAATTCATTTCATTTAAGTGAAAATATGTTTGGATTTAACTTAATTCGTAAAATAACCACCAGTAAGATACCAGTGAAAATACCATTTTCATTTAAGAACGGTTTTTCTGTAGTCGTCACTGACGATGCTTCAACTATTGTATGTCATCATCCTGTTAAACAATTTCCATATGAATTCAGCCAACCCTTGCCAGAAAATAAGATAGAAGATAACTCTGTGTTGAAAGTACAAAACAAAGAATATGTTCACCAAGTGTTTAGCAAACCGAAACATGGACTCGTTCAACAAGAATTGATGAAAATGACATTCACTACTAAGCATAGATGGGTGCCACCAAAAAAATGGAAAAGGAAATTTGCTCATAAAAAAATTGTAGACAGAGAATATTTATAATAAGTTTTTATTTTTGCCAAAATAATATGAAAATATTACATATTTAAATGTAATTAATTTTGCAAATATACTAGTAACTTTAAAAGAAATTGTTTCTTACTAAATAGTTAATATCAAAACCTTGCATTTTAATAAAATATTTCAACATGTTTTGAATTGTGTATTACTTCCAACTGAAATAATTTGAAAAATTAATATAATAAACATTACAGTTAAATACATCTCTACTTACCTCAACAAATCTGAAAGTGATGGTACAACTGGAGGTATAGTCTGACAAACTTTAGGTTGGTTAGAAGGTTTTTTTATTTTTAAATTACGATGTTGTGGGAATGTGGGCATTAATTTTGGATCACACGCTATAACAAAATTGTATTTAATAAAAAAATTATTGAAAGGAAACATTTTTCTATACTAAAAATATTGGCATCACCTAACTACTACAATTTACAAAAATTCTATTAAATTAATATTATTCTTAGTAAACTTAAAGAAAAACAATATTAAAATGAAATATTTACGTATTGGAGCTTCAACAAAATATGAGCTTTGTAAACATTCTTCAGCTGTAGCCCTTCTACTTGGCTCATACATGAATAAAAAGTTTAACAAACGAATACCAGCATCAGATAACCATGGAAACCTAAAAATTTTGTAATACAAATTTGTATAAAATAGATCCATCAATAACTGTTTATAATACTCTAAACGTTTTAGCTTCGATGCGAAGCTGAGAATTTTTAAGTAATATTACTTGGGTTTTATATTGTTATAAGGTTGTGGTCTTAAAGTAAAATGTTTAAGAGCAGGTAGCGAGTCAAATTCAGGCCATATAGACGCATTTGGAGTGCCAAGAAGTTGACAGATTAAATCTAGTTGATGAATTTCAGTACGTCCTGGCAATAGTGGTTGATGAACTATAAAAATTCAAATTTGTTACACTAATATCAAACAAATTTATATTAACAATATATTACGTAACAACTCAGCAAAGATACACCCAGTGGCCCACATATCAATAGCAGTAGTTAATTTTGGTGATCCTAATAATACCTCAGGAGCTCTATACCAAAGGGTAACTACTTTTGCAGTCATTTTTTTTGGAGGAACACCAAAAAATCTAGCTAACCCAAAATCAGCTGAAATAAAAATATTTTATTTAAATAATTTTCTTATCATAATATTATTAATCTTCTATTCAGATTATTCAATAAGAAAGGAAACGAGTAATTTTTTATAAATTAAAATAAATATACTCTCTACAATAAGATTAATGGCATTTAAATAATAAAGTATATCTAAACCACTTAGTTATCCAATATTTTTTATTACTTGTTAGTTTAAAATTATTTATATTATGTATACTTGCCTATTTTAACACAGCCTTTGTCTGTGATCAATAAATTAGATACCTTAAGATCTCGATGAATAATGTAATTTGAATGTAGATACTTTAGTCCTTTCAGTAGCTGTAAAATTATACATTTTACTTGGGATTCAGAAAATGCAGTTGCCATATTATCCAATAAGCTTGATAAATCATGTTCACAATACTCCATTGAAAGAAATATGCTACAAAATTATATTATACAAAAATAAAAAATCCATTTAAAATAAAATAGATTTAAATAGATATATTATTATAGAGATTTTAGAAGTATTAGGAAAAATCAGTGATATTTGAACTATTCAATTTCAAACCAAACTTTGTATGTTCAGTTCAAAAATTAAACTTAAAATTATAAAAACTCAAACCAAACTTTTCCTTTGTAAATAGATTTAAAAATTGAACAATTACAATCAAATAATTCTAGATTTGTCAAATAATGACATAAAAATATTTTGCCTGAAAATGATTAAAATCAATATACAGTTTGTGTTTAACTCAAAAATTGAAAGTTTAATTTGATTAGTATACCAATTTGTTGCAATATTTCTACAAAGTACTCATTTAAAATAATAGAAGTAACAAAAGATTTATATCAAGCTATAATATTTCTATGTATTGAAAGCCATTAACATAATAATAATAAGTAGAAAAGGATTACTAACATCAATAAAGATAATTTTAAAATATGTATCAAATTTAGTATAGAAAAAGGGTAGCTAAAATCTCAGTTATTTAAAAATAATAACTAAAATTACCTATCTAAACTTCTACCCACTAAAACTTCTTGCAGACGTACAACATTTTCATGATCACATTTCAATAACAATGAAATCTCACGAAGTGCACTCATAGGTAAACCTTCTTTTTCATTCTCCATACGAACCTTTTTTAAGGCAACAATTTTTTCACCTGGTGCTTTAGAATCTTTTGCCCGATCTGTAAAAAGTTATAATTTTGTAAAAAAGCATTAATAACACTCAAAATACACTTGAATTAATAATTAATATAACAATATTAGTTTTAATTTCAACAGAAAACTTTGTATATTAACACAAATTCTATATTATTGTAACATACTTACATACAACACCATAAGTTCCCTCTCCAATTCTATTTAATTTTTCAAACTCTGCAACAAAACGACACCTACCCAACTAAAATAAAATACAAATTTTAGAATAAAATAAAATCATTTATTTTTTTGGTGAATACATTTTTGAATTTTTACTCACGAGATCTCTTTCAGGAATTACAAAAGGTTTGAGGTCCCGAAATGACAATAAAGACCCAGACAAAATAACAGGACCTGTAGGATCATAATCAGCCAAAGTTTGTTTAGATTTTTTAATACCACCAAATTCCACTGACCTTTCTTTCTTAATTTTCTTGGAATGCTTCTCTGTAAATTTAAATAGGTGCTCAAATAAATAATATTCTTCAATACTTAATGCTATTATCAATAAATTAATGAATATTTGTTTAAAACATACTTTTATTTTTCCCCATTATTTTAGTTACAGAAACGTATTGCAAGTTGTATAAAACTAAAATGCTTGAAAAAATAAAAAATAATAGTGTTAAGTAAATTAAATTGTAATCGATCAGTTATGAGTGTTCAAAGACTAAGACTACATTTACCATAGCTATTATCAATATTCATTATTTTACAACAAACATTGTTATCATACGAAATATCCTCCATTGCCGGCAAAGTTTTGTATTTTAAAAAATATATAAATTGCATTGAAATACAATATTTTTGGAACGTTTTAAAAATTTTTAGTCTGCTGTATATTAAAAATATAAGTATTCCCATTTTACCCGTTATTCTCCTAAACCCATTGGTTTTCTCAAAACGTTAAGTTTTGAGAATTTAAGAAAACACATCATTGGTTTAATTGAGGCAAAACCATTGTTGATACGTTTATTTAATGAGTACTTCAAGAATAGTCTTGCACCATTTTTGAAAAAGTGAACTTATGATAGTAAACCTCTGGAATGCAAAGTTTAAACTCTTAATGTTTCATAGTTTTAAGATTAAATATAAGATAATTAAGAAGCTTTAGAACTCAAATTGAGTTTCACTTATTATTAACCCAAAACATTTAAAGCATTTATCTTCGATAGAAAAATGAGAAATAGAATTTTACGGTTATAAAAATCTTGATTTCTAATTCCTAATGTATCTAGGCCTTCCCGAAGCTAAAATATAGTAAAAAGGGATGATGAAAAAATTATTTTTATTGAATTATATTTTTTAAATTATGAGATCACTTTTTTAAGTGTTTTTTTTCGGAAACATTATTATATATTGAATAATTGCCTATATACCATTAAATATTACTAAATAGGGGAAGGTGCCATGGCCCCCTCAAGACAATGCTGATAGTATTTCCATAAACGCAACTAAAAAAACACTAAGAATAACTTAAGTTCTTTTTCACTTAAAAAATATTTTGATATAATAACGAAAATAATTTTTTAAATATTGTTTGGCGAGGCTATTTTTCAACTAGGGGTTTTAGATTTACATTATAAAATAACATAAACGATCATTAAATTAAACGGTTGATTGATTTATAATACAGCATTCTAATTAACTTTTGACGAGAAAATGTGCTTTCACAATATAATTTTACATTTTATTAAAAGAAATATTTTAATAAAAATTATAAACATGATTACAAACTATCAATACATTTAAAAATATCCAAAGGGAGCATAATCTATAAAGAAATATTTAAAGCCTTGCATAGTATTAAATTGATGTAGTTCTTGATATTATTTAAGCTTAAATGCAAAACTAAAAAGTATTAATTTTACCTCTGGACTTTTTTTTGTGGTGAAACAGACATTAAATCAAAAGAAAAAAATACGATTTTCGTATTAAATTAGAAAATTCAAAATAATTGTATAAAACTTATTTATGTGACTGGGGGAACTATCGTCAGTGGGTAATACCGGTCACCTCGCTACCTAATAAACCCATTCATTTAAAATTATGTTGACCATACATATAGATTAAGAATGATAAAAAAACCTTATTCTCATCAGAACGATATTATCAAAAAATATATTTTATAATTATATTATATTATACAATATTGATTATTGATACGTAATTTTAGATCAAACTATATAGACATAAAAGAAGAAGAAGTATGTACTTTAATTTTAACCCCCTTTTTAGAAAAATAAAACATTAAATAAGATTTAAGTGTTTAAATATATAATAATATATTGTAAATATTTTCAGGGAGGATTTTGGCAGTTTTTAATATCTACCAAATAAGTATTTGAAAAAAAGGGAGTTGTTCTTTTTTAAAAAAAACGTTCTAGCTACTAATGGCTATGATAAATTACAATTTCAATTTCATAGCTATAATTATAATTATTGGTTAGAATAATCAAAAACGGTCACTGAAGCAAAATTTAATTAGCATGAATGAATAGTATTAAAAAATTCAAATTTATAAAAAATTTTTTTAATAAACTTATTCCTTGAAAAATTAAGGAACGAGCAAAGTGAACAAATTAATTTTCATGACAAACTTTAACGGAATTTAGAGTCCCTTTAAATTTTACTGTTTCTAAAAATCTTGTTTGTAGGTGTTATAACATTTTTATTTACTAAAAATTTAATTTTACGTTGACTGTTAACAATATTTTTTGTTTTGAAATCTAACAACCCTAATTTTTATTTGTCTGTTATATTATGTCTCCATTGTGTTATCCTATTTTATAATTTTAATATATTACCCAAATTTTCAGTGATATTAAATAAATTATTACACTAAAAACATAATATTTTGAAAAAACAGAATTATAGGTGCAATCTGAGAGTTGACAATCAACTTGTCCCATCAAAAAAAATTCTGAAAATAATATGTAAATTTATAATAAATTAATCTTAAGGAGGGAGGAAGTTAAGTTAATTCTCCAAAATATTTTGTTCAAAATGTACCTATGCACAGGATGATTAAAATATACCGTTCTACTTCTTTTTCCAAACATTTATCCCAACTACTTAGAATCACACATCAACTGTCCTCGTATCACATTCAATAACATTCAAAAACCCAACCTCTCTTTTTTAGTATTCCTCTACATCTTCTTCTTCAACATTCATTTCCATAACTATTTTTACAGCTTTCAAATCCTCTCTCTTCATAACATGACCGAATCATGTAAGTCTATTTTCTCTCAACTTATCTTCAATTGAAACTACACCTATATTCCCTCTTATATGTTTATTCCTTATCCTATCTTCTCTAGTCACTCAACTCATCCATCTAAGTATTCTCATCTCTGTTATACTCATTTTTTCCTTTAATTTTTTGTTAGACGCCCAATACTCAAAACTATACATCATAGCTGGTGTCACTACAGTCTTACCACACAATTCTATCCATTTCACTCACCTGCACTTAATCCTGTGCATTACATCATCGTCAAAACTACCGTTCTTTTGCATACTATAGAATTCTTTTTCACCTTCTTTTGTTCCTAACCTATCATACAACTCGTCATACCTATTAAAACTTTGCCATACTTACCACACACTTGGCTTCTTTACACAAGCGTTTATACTCCAGCCAATTTTCTTTCATTTTGCTCTTTTGCCAAACTTAAAAGTGTTTTTTCTTACTCTCTATGATTCTCTGAACGTCCTCATCCCACAACTAGGATTCCTTGTGTCCTGGCATTTTACTCACACCAATAATCTCCCTTGCAGTATTCTTTACACTACTACCAAATCTATTCTACATATCATTTATGTCTCCCTAAACATTCCACACCGTTCTCTATTTTTTAACAAAATACTTAGTGTATTTGAATCAAAGCTTTTTATTATGATTTATCAAATATCTTCTATACATAACCTAACTATGTCCCCACCACTGTGCTAGATTTTAGTAAAATAATAACATTCAAAAAACTTTTTTTATTATGAGTTTGAATGTTAAAAATTTCCTGAATACAAAAATGTAATATCAGTTAAAGTTGATATTGAATATAAAGAAATATGAAAGAAAGATTAATTACATTATCTGTGATATTACTAATAATTTAAGAAGACATGTCCGTTATTCCTTATCATTTAGGAAAAATAATTTTGAAGTGACACGCGTACGTACTGATAACAAAATTTAAACCTCGCTTCTGTGGGCTTCATTTTTAACTACATCATTCTTAAGTTGACTAAATCAGACATTTATATTGAAAATTTATTTTACAGAAAATATATTGCCCATTTTTATACTTACTAATTCATTTTTTAATTTTTATAATTTTCGTAAAAATGTCCTTAGAAGAAGTTGAAAATATTAAAAAACGCATAGAAAACTTTAAGAAAACTCTTATAGAGTTAACCGCAACAGAAAACAATGAAACTCACCACACGATTCGTGAAATGTCTGCTGAAGTAGTTGATTCCAATCCTTATAGGTAAATTATAAGTAATTCATTGAATTAAAATTTTGTATTTGGTTAACAAGTTAAATTTTGAAATTTATTTATGTTCTTATGTTATAACTAATTAATTTTAGTCGACTTATGGCTTTACAAAGAATGGGTATTGTAAAAAATTATGAAGATATTCGAAAGTATACTGTAGTTGTTGTTGGAGTTGGTGGAGTTGGAAGTGTTACTGCAGAAATGCTGACACGATGTGGAATTGGAAAAGTATTTAATTTAATTAATTAATTAATTAAAATAATTTCATTAATTATTTATTTGTATTATAAAAAAAAAATTTCAGTTAATTTTGTTTGACTATGATAAAGTTGAATTAGCTAATATGAATAGACTATTCTATCAACCTTCTCAAGCAGGATTAAGTAAAGTAACTGCAGCCTCAATGACATTGACACGTATAAATCCTGATGTTAAAATTGAGACTCATAATTGTAATATTACCATAACTACACATTTTGATAATTTTTTAAATACATTAAAGTAATTAATTAATTAATTTAAGTTTATCACTTAAATATAAAAAGAATTAATTATTTTTAATTAGAACTGGAAGCTTAAATGGGGATTCAGTGGATCTTGTATTAAGTTGTGTAGATAATTATGAAGCTAGAATGACAATAAATACTGCTTGCAATGAATTAGGTTTAAAATGGTTTGAATCAGGAGTAAGTGAAAATGCTGTATGTGGCCATATACAATATATTGTACCTGGAGAGTCTGCTTGCTTTGCGGTAATCATTTTTTAAAACTTTAGACACAATTGTTTGTTTAAAATTTATATATTGTTCTAATCTTATTATTTATATAGTTATTATAAAAATTAGCATAAATTATATTAATATTATTTATAGTGTGCACCGCCTTTAGTTGTCGCTTCAGAAATTGATGAAAAAACATTAAAAAAAGATGGTGTTTGTGCTGCAAGTTTACCTACCACAATGGGTGTCATAGCTGGTCTACTTGTTCAAAATACTTTGAAGTAAATAAAAATTATTACTATAATCATAAATTAAAACTATAATTTTTTTCAAACAGGATAATCTTTAATTTTTTGTTTATTCTATACCCTGTCTGTTTTAAAAATAAAATACAGTACAATAGCTTACACATAAGCTCTCATTAAAATTATGAAATTTTACAAATTGTTAAAATTGGCATTCACTAAAATTTATATTTGAGTCTATTAGTATTATTAAAAAAGTGAGGTTAATCTGGCTTCTAAGCACCTCAACTGTTGATCAATAAAAATTTGTTTAGTTTCCCATTATTTCTAGAATTTTTGGCCATATATATAATTGTATTAGTCAATACTAAATCCAATCATACATTTTCCACTCGTTTAAAAGTTTACATTTTTGTTATATAATTTATTTAACAGATTTTTGAAAAAATTGTTATTGATAATATATTTATAAATATTTTTTTTTAGAAAACTATTAGGATTTGGAACAATCTCTTGGTATTTGGGATACAATGCCTTAACAGACTTTTTTCCAAGTATGATGATAAAACCAAATCCCAATTGTAGTGATAATTTTTGTATCAAGCAACAAGAAGTGTTTAAAAATAAAGTTATTGAAGAACCTGCAAATATTTCAAGTGAAATTTCTTCAGAAAATATTGTGATACATGATAACAATGAATGGGGTAAGGCATTGTGTAATTTTCATATTTTAAATTACAATTTGGAATTTAAATTAAGTTACTTTATACCTCATTTTTCTTGAGCATGATTGTATCACGGAAGCAGAACTGTAATATAGATGTATCCCACATTCCTTTCCTAGTAAATGGAAGATAACACATGTATCATTGTGTACAACTCCATGTAACTTAATTATTTAGTTATACAATCCTAAATTATATCTGTATCTATTTTACAATGTCAATAATCTCAAAATCAAATAATTGTAAATTATCATCTATAGGAAAATAAAGCTCCAAAAAGGGTGCACATAAAAATAAAATAATGTTTTATAACATTTTTACAGAATTTGATAGTTATAACTATAAATTTTTTTTTAAGGAATATCACTCGCAGATGATACACCAGGAACAAATAATACATTAACAGAAAATAATGAAGAAGTTAAAGGAGATACGGTTAACAAAAATACTAGTATTAAAAGTGAAAATGAAGAATATTTATCTCTGAATGAAGGAATAGAGTATTCATATCCAATAGGAAATAATACAGTACCTAATGAGGAATCTATAGTTAAAGAGACTGATTTAAGTGTAGAAGAACTAAGGGCTCAAATGGCTTTATTACAATCTTAAAAAAAATTCCTTAAAAATTATTAATTCATTAACATAAGAGTTAAAAATGTATAATGAATAAAATAATTTTATACATATATTCATTTTTAATAATTCGTTAAAAATATTAAATTTACTTCAACGTACTTCTTAAAAAGTCCAATTGTTATTATTATTTTTTAAATGAACATTGTGATTTATATACATAATTGAATTTAATAATAAGCATGTTTAATTTTTTTTTTTTTTTTTTGTATTTTTCAACTTCACAAATTTAAGATTAATATTTTTACTATCATTCTTGTTGAAGTAAGATGATAAATTTAGCATTAAACAATAATACTATCGATTTATTAAAATTATAGACAAAATTGAATTAAAATAATAATAAAGATGATACATGATAAAACATGTGCTTATCAGTTTATTATATTGCATTTTGTAAAATATAATAAATATCATTAAAAAAATTCATAGTTAAGTAAAAAAATTTTTTTTAAAACTATTAGTAAGCTTCATCATCATCATGATTGTTCGTATCGACCTCTTCTGGAGCAGCAAATCCTTCCTGTAATATTAAATAAAAATTAACTAAATATTTTAGTTAATCAGCAATGAAGAAAAAAAAAACATTGCACAGGGGGGTCTTGGCACAGTGGTGACGTGGCATAGTTGGATCAAGTATAATGATATCTGAGAGTGATTAAAATCACTATCAAAATAAAACGCTTCGATGCAAATCTTTAGTGTTTAATTTTAAAAAATTGGTGTATTATTCCAAAAGCTACATGATCTGCTAGTTCCTTATTAATATCTTGATATAGATAAAGTATGTCGAATGAAAATGGGATTATTAAAATACTACTTCTCATGAAAAAATTGTATTGATCCATACATTTTTTAAAAAGTTATAGCATTTTAAAATAAAAAATATAAAATAGAGAATCGAGAAATTTCACACAAAATTAGCATTTAGTAGCCATTTTCACCACGAAGACAAGTCCAGAGGTCAAATTTTTTTTTTTCATAATAAAGTACATTACATTAGCTTTAATTTAAGATATATATATAAGTATCAGACCATCCAGAACATTTTCAAAAGTTAATTTTTTGTGAAAAAGTTGTCATTTTAAATCCCCCCTGTGGGCAGGTTAAGAGTCAAATTTACAAAAAATATATACCAAATGATAGATAAAGATATCAAGCATTTATAAAAAAAAAATTATATTGATATGTTCATTTTTGAAAAAGTTACGGCAGTTTTTAGTAAAAAAAATTTGAAAATTAGCGATTTTTAAATTTGTTATTTTTTTGAAGGTTTCCCCCATTTACGGGGAACGAGGGAAATTTTTTTAATTTTTGAGGGTAATGTCTTCGACTAGATACGATTTGTGGTCTTTTGACATATTGTTGAAAGAAATCCGTTCGTCAAGAGCTGAGTAAAAGTGGTAACAGAAAAAAAAAAAAAAAAAAAACACAGTAAAACCAATACCTTCTCAGCTTCGCATCGAAGCTAAAACATTTAAACATATAATATGAAATGACTAATATAAAAATAGGTTTACTTCAGTTGCATAAAGAATTTCCAATACTTTTGAAAACAAAGGATGTTCACTTTCTTGTTCCTGGCAAATAACTTCAATATCACGTAATTTTCCAAAATAGAAATCACGTTCTTTTTCCAAACCTTCCACTGTAACTCTTAGTTCACTCATCTAAAAATTAAAATATTTAATATTTTTATACAGAATGATATAACAATAATGTTATTTATTATAAGCAAAAATATAAAATATGTTTACAGGGTGATTCATTTCTTCCCACCTAGGTATAGAAATGTCTATAACTTCTAAAATAATGGTATTATAGTAGATCAAAAGTCATTAGATTTTTCATAATATTGTTGACCACTGTATATTTATAATAAGCATATACTTTAATTCATAGAAGTGCAAAGGAAAAAAATACTGTCAATTTAAGTACAAATTTAATAATCAAATATTATGTTTTTGCAACTTTAATGAAACAGCATTTATTCTTGATTGAAAGAGGAACTTAGTATATCCAAAAATGTTTAGCTTATATATAATACCTTTTAAAGACTATTGCATTAATAATTTTATAAATTATGAAAAAGTAATAATAATTAAAATATTTTCTTGTTTTATTATTTATTTATAATTATAATGTATAATCATCTTAAAACAAGTATTGAGGGTTTGACATAAATAATTCTACCATCTCTCAAAAAAAATTGAAGATTGGACTTATGACATTTATCTTTGTATTAAACTTTGAAATATAATAATACAAGATTAAAATATTTATATTATCTAACTAAAACAATACTTATACCTGTCTAGTCAATTCATCTATTTTATGATCACCTCTATCACGTTGAGTTGCTCCTACAGCTGGTCTTGATGCAGGTGCACGATTAGACACTATTTACAAAAAAGTAAAATCATTAAAAAAAAAACTAAAGTTATTATAAAATTATAAAAAAAGAAGCAAGCCTTAGGGGGCAATCTGGGATAATTTCGAGTTAATATACGAACTATTGCTGTTACTCGCGGGACGGAATAAACGATTATTGGAAACATTTCTAGGCGGTACTGCTGCAGATGGCTTTTTGGTAATGCCTGCTCTGGACGCAACTCCTGCTGATCCCATTCCCTCACCACTTCGTGCACCTACTGGGTCATATTCAGTCATTTGATAATTGGTGTCAAAGAACTTTTTGAACCATTGTAAAAACTCGAAATTATCCTGAAAACGTCCCTTGACCAGCCTATCAATAGGTACTATCTGCAAAATAAAAATAAAAATAAAATTAAATATCAAATGCAAAAGGAAAACAAAAAATAAATTATATAAACAAAATACTATATATAAATATACACTATAACAAATAAAAATTAGCAAAAAAAAACTAACTTACTAAACAATTAAATATATTAATAAAATACTATTTGAACAAAATGTAAATAACACATTGTACATAATAAGAAAATGATATTAATGCTATATCTTCAATTTCATTCATCAGAATGTTAAGTATTTGAATAATAACAGAGTCACTATTAAAATAATATTCAACCCTTAATTTTAACTAATAAAGAAGCTTAATGTAATAAATAGAATGGTTTTGTCTCAAAATTTGTATTACAGGTTACAAAATAACAACTTGGAAGTGAATATACAAAATATGAATAAGGGTTAATACATAACTCGCACATTATTTTTTTTACATAATTATATTCCAAATAATTTTTTTTTTTTAATATTACTATACTTTTGTAATAACCAATATTTTCATAAAATAATTTCTAGAATAGTTTATACATATTGTTAATGATAAAAGGATACATTTTCGTTTTTATCATTATTAATATACAAAATAGATTACCCTTCATAAAAGAGTCATAAGTTAATGTAAAAGATTATAGCCTATTTATTTGAGGGCAAGTAAAAAAAAAAATACTAATGAATCTATTAGTAATTTACATTATCTCAACTACTATAAAATAAGTGTTAAATTAATTTTTCTTCCAAATATTTTATTTTAAAAAATGAAAATAATTATTTTCATTTTTGAGGAGCTCAATCATTAACAGATAAGTTTTTTTTATTTGTGCCAGTGTTAATCTATATATTAATAAAACATTTTTATAAAAAATGAGTTATTAATTAATAATAGCAATATAATAAAAACTATAGACAGAACAAAAATATTCAGCTATTCTAGAGCTAGTTTTAATTGAACTTAAACTCTTCAATTAACATATTAAGTTCAGTCAAACAAAAGTAGAAATCTCGAAGAGAGAGTCAATTTGGAATTGACTAGGTGTATTATTACAATTACAATTAAAAGAAACATAGTCCATATAGAATAATAGTTTGTTGTAGATTCAAAAAATTTGAAAAGCTAGACATTTTTATTTTAATCATTTTCTAATCACATATATATACGGGGGGATGATTATTTTAATCCTAGCCACTTTTTTATCTTAAAATAATAAATATTTTTTTTTTGGCTTTTGTTAGTTACATATGCATCTCAATTTAATTGTTGAAAAATAATTTTTAAGTCTACCCCTTTTTTCTTATATTGGTAGCAACTTTTTTTTTTTTAATTGAAACATACATATTTAATTAATTAGATTATAAAGTAGAAAATAATCTAATTAAGAAAATGAATGGTCAATAACGACTTTTGATCTAATACGTAGGAATATTAGCATTTGAAAATATAGACCAATTAAGCAAAAATGTAGCTATACTAATCGTTAATCAATTCTCAGGCATTCTCCTCCTCCCGCCTAGATGCAAAATTGTGAATATCTACCGAAGCACTATTTCAAAAGTTGTTATCGACTAGTAATTATTTTAATTAGATTATTTCCTATTTTATAAACTAGTTATATATGTGTAACGCTATTGAAAAAATATAGCTGATACACATATAATACATAAGGTATGAACATAAAAATATTTTTTTACAGATAAATAGAAATACATATGTATTAACAAAATTGAAAAAAATATATTATTCTAAGAGAAAAAAGTGTCTAAAGTTAAAAGAATTACCATGTATGTATATATATATATATTTAGACATTTATCAATTACTCTCTTCATCTTGCCTAAGTATAAAATAGTTAGGAACTCCAAAATAGTCATTACCAGTGCATCACTTCTTATCTAAACTTAAAAATAATAATAACTTCCAGAATACTGTTTGAAAAATTATAATAAACCAATAATTTTTTTAGTTGGATATTTTCTAACTTTTAAAGCTATATATGTTGTTATTAAAAAAATAAAGTGTCTCTCTCATAAAGAATAAGGGATGGTTCTAAAAAATATTTAACTATTTATGAATCAAAAAATAAATAATACTAAATAAAACCAAAATTTTTTATAAAAGAAATTTTGTAGTCAACAATAAACAATCACTTGGTATTTAATATTATCTTATATTGTTATTAATAACAATAATAGCACACACACACATATTTATATTCATTTAAGAATTATCTTAGAACCTTTTAAGTTTACTAATTCTCATACAGAGCGCCAAATATATAGAAAATATTTCATAAGTACTAAAAAACCATTAAATTACAAGCTTAAGATAGATTTATTCCAAATATATAACTGAAAAATATAATAACAAATAATATAACTGAAAATATTTGGAATAAATCTATCTTATATTACAAAAAATAAGGATAATTTTATAAAAATATGTCAAAGTATGAAAAATAAAAATTTGTCAACATTTAGGGTGAATTATACCCCTATATGTTAGCTTAACTGGACAACATTTTTGTGGCAAAAAAAACATGCAAATTCACAATTTTAATGACTACTAGTTTAAACAGAAATTTAAGTTAAATTTTCCACAAAGTTTTATTGACCATTTTTCATAAAAAAATGAAAAAATATTTAAGACTTCCATTCATTCTTATATTAACAACACAATAATTTATTTAAAATTACTATGATAATGCTATTTTTACTAATTACAGAATTATTTATCTTAAAAGAAATGAAAAAATGTTGATTTATTTTTTAATAGTTTCAAGGAGATTTGAAGAGTAATTTATAATTCATTTTAATTTAAATATAATATAATTTAAAAACTATTTAAACATACAAAAATAATACTTTTAAATTAATAACTTTATATTGTTCTAATAAAAATGATATATCAAAGTTTTTTTTATAAAATAGTAATATTAATTAAAAACTAGCTAGTAAACATAAATTGAAAAGTCTCATATATGAGTATGCGAATCCCAACTTTATTTTACATGCACATTCCACTATCATCATTCTGCTTTAACTATAAAAACATTTACTTTTTATAGTTTTAATTGCAAACACTTCAAGTAAATAATTATTAACTACAAGCATCAAAAAAAAAAAAAAAAAGAATGCCTGATTTGATGCTTATAAATCAAATTACTATGAACATTAAATAACAATCAATAGTTAACACCTATCAATTAGACAACTATAATCATGCAATTAGGAATACCGTGCCCATAAGACGGACTTCTATAACCTCGAGCAGCATTTGGAATACGATATGGAGGTGGTGCTTGAAAACCGCACATATTATCAACAGCACCAACACCAATCATAATTCCACCACGAGCTTCTAAACCATCATAGTCTCGTCCATCATAGTTGGCATCAAAAAATTTTTTGAACCATTGTAAAAACTCAAAATTATCTTGAAAACGACCTTTGATAAGACGATCAACAGGAATCACCTATAAAGTTACTTTTTACCACCATGTATCAACAATTTGATTACTTTATTATAAGCAAAATAAAAGGTATTTTCCATTATAACTTTAAATACTTAAATATTAAGATGAAAAATGAAACATCTTTTTATTCAAAAACTTAAAACTTATTACTTCTTTGGTAATAATTAACATGGTTAATTTATAAAACTATAAATTTCAAATTTATACAAACCTTATCAACTGTCATCTTTTTAAATGCACCTTGAAGAATCTTGAAATTTTGTATATACTCATGTTCAAGATTTGTTCTGAATTTCACCCGTTTCATTTGTACGCTACCTATGTAAAAAGCCAAAAATAATATTACACTTCTCAAATATAATTATAAAATTTTTTAGTAATATAAATTAGAACCTCTTTTTTTTTTTTATTAATAAACTATGATAAAAAATGTGAATTATTTTTCATCCAATTTCAAGTAAATGCATTTTAAAAAATGGTGAAAGAAATATGTATACATATATTTAATATACCAGGAAATAACATATCCATAAACTGGCAATATGCTGCTCCAGAACATAATTCTTCAATTTTTGTAAAACTTGCTGATAATGTATCGTTAACCCAGGCCAACATATCATGACGACTTAAATTTTCTGATGTAACATTTGTTGAATATACATTTATAGCCATATTGATGTTTTAATCTAAAAATATGTGTAGTATAGAAGGTTAAAAAGTAAATAATATTTATAAAAATATTAATTATAATATTTATTATATTTTTTTATAAAATACTCAAATTTTTTTTTTTTATACTTAATAAAATTCATGTATCACAAAAATGTCAACAGCATTACATATATATAACTTTTTAGCTGTTAATAGTTTTTAATATTAATGATAAGAATTTTTTTTTGAAAAAATTATAAGTTTCAGTAAAGATTAAGTTATACAAACATGATGAAAATTGGATAAATACACTGAAAAAGTCATCTTTTAACAATATAATAAGTGAATTGATTTAATATTATAAAATAGAATTTAATTTTATTCAACTTTTAATTTATACATAAGGTCATAGTTTACTTTAGAAAAATGATAGATTCACACAGAATCTTTCCATTGTATTATTAGCCATTCTTTTAAACAAATAACTATAAAATAAACCAAATAAAAATTACCCAATAGCTTAACACTAAAATAACATAACTGATAAGTAGTTTAACTGATCATTATAATTATCAACTAAATAGGTAACAAGTCATACTCATATTATATTAAATGAAAATAATACTCTATAAATATATGTCAAATGATTAATTTTTAAAAATTAAAACGTTTCCGCTGATTATTTAATTTATAATATTTAAACATTAAGCCCTTGGGGTATAATGTTAAAATCGTAGGTATTTTAGCAAATATATAATGATAGTGAGATTACAATCAAATAAGGTAAAATAAATTGTTGCACTCATGTTACATTAAGTACGTTACAAAATTTAAATAACTTCTACTTATGAAAAATCCGTAAAATCACTAATAAATAGCCGTGCGGTAAGTACATTTTAAGTTACCTTTTCGATTGTATTGGTCCCAAACCGTTGCGGGCCAAGATAAGTTTTGAATAATAGCTTAAAATAAATGTTTTATAAACTTCAACGTAACAAAATTTTCGTAAGAGTTAATTAAAAATGAGATAAATTTTAAAATGTATTATGCTCCAACTCAAGAGTGACATTAGTTACAGTACGAAGAGCCCCAAGACTAGTCAAGACAAGTTATGAGTCCACGGTCCAGTTACCATGTTACCGATGACCAGGTTGCATGAATAATATTTTAGTCACTAACAGCCACTCCTCATTCTTTAAAAATCCGCCCAAGCATCTGCTGACGCATCAAAAAATTAATTACTTAAAAAATTATTAATTTTAAGCCTGACGATACTTGGGAAAAATTTTGATATTAACAGAAAAACTATTTTGACTTCAAATTTTTTACATCAAAAGTAAATGAATAAATTAAATATATATGTATATCAACAGTATTTAAAATTAAAACACATTAAAAATATATTAGTAATATAACATAACTTTTTAATTATAAAGATTGGTAATTCAAATATTACTATTTGAGATAAAATTATTTTTTAGTAATTATTTAGTTAGTTAATACATTTCTTTTAAAAAAAAGTTTTCCAGTTCAAAACTCATTCAACATTGATTTTTTTACATCTATTCAAATTGACTATTCCCCTACATTTTCGACATCTATTCGAATGTAATACAAATAATGGATATTTTCATTTTAATTTGGTTTTTAAAAAGTTTTTTTTATCTTAATTAAAAAATATATATTTTTTCCATGCATTCAGCGATTTTGTCCATGAACATAATTTGCCCGGTATAAAATGATAATTTTTTTATTGTAATTATAATTACACGTATATGATTACGATTCAATTTCCTGGTAATACTTAACAAAATTTTGTCTCGAATAATCGTCGTTTTCTTTTTAAAGTAAAAACGAAATTGAATAATAACGTTTTATGTAAATATAAATTTTTAGTAATATTATTACCTTTTATTTATGTAAAGTTGTACTAAAACTGTCATCAAATTTTAAAACTAATACTATCAAAATCAATAAATTAGAAGAATTGAGATATCAAATAATAAATATCGGTTAAAGTATAAATTTCAACGTTAATTAACTATTTTTTTATACTAAATAAAAATATATATTGAAAGTATTGTAAATTTTACTTCTTTGATTATTTTATATTTAAAAATATTTAAGATTATTGTGTGTTTTAAAATACATATATTTATACATATTTTTTTATTTAACTAAGTTATTAATTTTAGGTAACTTGTGTAACAAGATTTTAGTTTTTCTAAATAATTTATACAATGGCAAAGATAGTTGGCATCACTACCAAATTTTATGATGATTATGTTAAAACAACATCAAAAAAACTTAAAATTATTGATGCTTATTTATTGTACATTCTGTTAACTGGAATTGTACAATTTGTTTACTGCTGCCTTGTTGGGACATTTCCATTTAATTCATTTCTTAGTGGATTTATTTCTTCTGTCAGTAGTTTTGTTCTTGGAGGTAAGATTATTTTTTTTAATATTCAGTATTATTTTCGTAACATTTTAATAAATGTGTACTTAGCTATAAAATGATCTGACCTCAAAAAGAAGAAAAAATTATATTTTTTAATTTTAAATACCTGTTACCTTAGTAAAAATTTAAATTCAAAGTAATTTCAATATTAAAAAAACACATACCCTAATCCAAACTAAATACTATAAAAAAATAATTTTTTTCTTCATTTTATTATTTTTCTGACCAGATATTTTTGTTTGTTTTTGGGAAAAAAAATATTTTTTAAAAATACATTAATGTATGTGTCAACCATGAAATTTCATTGTATTATACAGAAGTCTTTATAAACATTTAGAATATGTAATTCAACGTATTTTAAATACTTAGTTTTGGTTATATTAAATATTGACTAATTTTCTGTTGACTACAATATTCAGAAGAATTCTCTAATAAATTTTGATACTGATTCTAAATATTGTTTCAGGTATTTTTCAACACATCCAGTTTTTGGCATAATTACTAAAATTGATCATTATTTGTATTCCTTTGTTATTATTTTTATTAGATGTGATGATATCATTAAAGGTTATATCATAATACTATGCTTTAATGACTGTATACATCATGATTTTTTCAACTGATCAATTTGATTTTTTGCTATATCATCTTTAATTAATTTTTTTTTACCCAATAACCAAAATATAAATATTTTACCAGGTCATGCTATAATCCAAAACCTAATTTTAGCTGAACAAATTTTATATTAACCAAAACTTCTACTAAATATTAAAAATACCTTGAACTATATATTTCTTACATTATTTCATTTAAATTTTTTAGTCACTATACTATATTTTATTTTACGAAAATATGAATTAAAACTCTAGATGTAAATAATAATAATTTCCCTAGTTATTTGTTTTGTAAAAATAAAAATTGATATATTTTAATTTTTCAAAAAATTATCCATCTATTTGTAGTAATTTCACTAATTACAATTTAACCAGATTAAACTAAAAAGTTAAAGTGAAGTGTTGAGTTTCTTTTTCTGAAAATATCTATCAAACTCAAATTTAAATGTTTATAAAAACAATTGTTAAACTTGATAATTTTTTATTATAATTTGATTATTAATTACAAATTAATAATTATCTCACAACTATTGATGTGATAAAAAATATCTGAAGCCAAAATCAGTGTCAAAATTTCTTATAAAATGCACTTAAATATTGTGGACAGCAAAATGTCTTATGTAATCACAAAAAAGCATACATTGTGTAATTTATTTAAGGTTCCAAAATATGTTTAGTCTAAACAATATTAATTTTGAGGTGACTGCTAGTTAAGTAAAATTGTACGGGTAATTATACATAAATTGGATTTTTTTAGTATGTTTAAGATTACAAGCTAACCCTCAAAACAAATCTCAATTTAGTGATATCAGTCCAGAAAGAGGCTTTGCAGACTTCATTTTTGCACATGTTGTGTTACATCTAACTATAATGAATTTCATTGGATAATCTAAGAATAAGTTTAATGATATAATAACTATTAATATAAAATTAATTCCAACACAGTTTGATTTATTTAAACTATATGTAATTTTTTTTCAATATATTTATAATTCATAAAGTGCTAATAGATATAAATTAATTTTGATTCATCTAAATAATAGTTTATTACTTAAAAACTTTAATTTTTAATTGTTAAAAACTGTTTATATTATATCTGTGAATTCATAATTCATACAATTTTATATGCAACAAGAATTACAAGTGTTATTATTTTAGATATTATGCTACCTTTTTATAGAGGAAAAGACAAAGAAGAAACATACATTTGCAAAATGTCTTTTTAGGTTATTTATTTTTTTAATACAGACTTAATAATAATTAACAACTTGTTAAAAAAAGTTGTCATTTGGGTCATGTTTGTTTAAAAAAATGGATTTCTAATTTCTAACTCTTTATTACTTTCATTTGACAAATAAAATTCAATAATCTTGAAGAAAATTATTAATTAGGAACTTTTTTTTTATTAAATAAATGATGGAAGCGTTTAGAAAATATTTGAACAAGTAGGTATTTGTTTTTTAATTAAATCATTAAACGCAAATTAAAAAATATTTTAAACTTATTAAAATTTATTAAGGTTAGTTTAGTTTGATTTAATTTAAAATAATACAATATTTATATCACAATGGACCAATTTTATCATAAAATAATTTTATTAATAATAAAAAATACATTTTCACCATTTTTAAATTCAATACCACTAATTGCTCTAGTTATCAATTAAAACGAGTCTTTTAAAATAAATTTCATCTTACATCTCATTTAAAATATTATACTGTATAAGTAGATAAATCCATAAAATGTATACTTTAAAACTTCAAAACAAAACTTATTTTTATTAATAATATTTACATTAAATTATTCCATTAATATATATATATATAAAATTGCATAGTTTTAATATGTCTATTTTTTATAAAATGCATATTGTATTGATATATATTTAACTTAAACTCATATAATAAAATCAATTACCAAAAAAAAAATTTTATTATATACTCAATTCTTTAGTTATTTATTAAGTTTTATGATATTATATGTTATTTTACACAATAGTAAATAGATATTAATAGTTTTTTTTATATTATATATTTGTAACTAAATTAATAATTAATTTTAACATAACTAAATTTATAAAACATAAGCCTTAACTTGGCCACAGCATTTAATAGGTAATTTCTTTACATAAGATGTTAATAAGTTACTTAAAATAAAACTAATTAACCTGTACAGGAACTAATATCCATAATTCAGATAATTTTCAATATTAAGATGTATATTAGTTAATCATATAAACAATATATAAAATAGTTATCTCATTTCACTTATAAATTAATATCTTAAGGTGAATATAATATAATATAATCACAGTCTTTAAATATCCATAAAAATGAATCCATTTATTAGTCTAGTCTTTGGGAACATCCCTCCTCTTTGTTCATATACTTTTGCCTAGCTCGTAAAATCATAGCTTGTTTTCGAGCTCTTAGCATATGTTCTCTTTCATCAGGTGATTTAGAAAATTGACTCCCCAAACTCACAAGATCATCTATTCCAGGCTCATTCATATTTGAATTAAAACTAAGTAAAAAATTCATCAAAAGTTTTCAAATCAAGTAATATAATTCTGTTTTTTAAAGTATACTAACTTTGTACCGGGAGAAATATTTATATATTGCTTAACTGTACTGATTGGCTGAGGTATCTCAATCATAGATTCTTCTTCAATAAATTGTTGAGGTGAAATAAGACGACCTTCAAGAATATTATCAATAGTAAGATCAACAGATCGTGTAACCAGCAAGTCTTCAACTATCATTTGCATAGTGTAATATGGGAATAATTGAAGTACCTTATATTTTTTACAATAATAATTAGTTTAAAATTAATGAACAAATGTATTAACTAACAATTAAAAAAAAATTACTTGTCTTGCCATTGTGTCAATTTGTGAAGATTGTATGTTTTGTGAAGACGGTCTTAATGAATGAGTAACTTCAACTGAAAAACTTGGTAACCAAGATAAATATCTAGATCCTGAAATGAAAATTGATTTTATAATTAAAAAAATTTAATAAAAAAATAACAAATCTTGAATTTTTATTATAAAAATACTTGCCATCAAAATGAAAAAAGTGATGAGGGGAATGAGTATGTATACCCAATGTGTTTTGATTAACATTATTAGCTAAATTAGAAACTCCAATATTTTGATCTTGACCTAAGGTTAATGAAAGGCGACATGTAGGACAAGATGGTTCTTGCTCCATCCAGGATTGTAAACACCCATTGTGAAACAAATGACCACATGGTAATTTTCTAGCAGAATCCATTTTTTCCCAGCATATTGCACAATTATCAGAGTTAGTTTCTAATTCTTGTAAAGTAGCCATAGCGTAACTAAACAGTATAATTTAACATTTTACAATATATAGCGTATATATCTATGGGTACAAATAGATAAGGGCGTTGGAACTATTTGTTACAAAGAGGGCAAAAATTTAATGACAAAAAAACCCTTGATTAATATAAATATTGATTAATAAAGCTAAAAAATGCAGATATAACAATTTTTAGTGATCATATAAAAAAAAAATCGAGTAGTTTATAAACTTGACCCTAGATAATGCATATTATTTTTTATTACATTGTTAGTTATTATTTTATTTTGGTCAATCAAATTTGCTAAGCCACAATTAATAATATGGATAATACATAATTCTATGAAATAATCACAAAATGTGAAATTGATAATAAGCAATTTTTTTAAAATTAAATTACAAAAGAAAATATTAAAATTTAACAATTATGATTTATTTTTAGCCATAATTTTTTTATCAGTTTCAATGGGTAGGGGGAGATATAATACTTTTGCCTTTCTTTATTTTCACTGAGGGGGCAAATGCCTCGTGCTCACAGTTCCGGTGCCACTGCGTATAGATTTAAAAGGGATTTTAACATTAAGATTAAAACTTTATTACATGGAAATTTTATTTACGATTATATCAAATTATTATTATTGATAGATACATCTATCAAATTATTTATGTAGGCTCTAAGCTAAATAATTTACAAAGTAGGACATACAAATGAGGATGCTATCATTGACGTGAAACAGTAATGACGAAATTGATAGAGATGAAAACAAGGGATTGTGAACAATTGTTCTACATTTATTAACAGAACAAAAAAAAAACGGTAGTACAGTGGGGTCGAGGCACAGTGTAGACAAGGCATATATGGGACAAGTATAGATGATGTTTGACAGTGATTAAAATCACTATCATAAGAAACGATTCAAAAGCAACATCAACTCTTATTTCTTTGATTATATCCTAATTAGTAGTTGTTTGATTTTAAAATATAATATATGAATAAATACTAATTATAATTATTAAATTTAGTATGAAATTGATATTCAATAATTTAGTATTGTAATTTAAACGGAGAAATTATAAAAATAATAAAGAAGTTGTATTTTGCTTTATTTTTACGTGTATAAAAATTTAAAGGGCTTGATACAATAAATTTCAATAAAAACTGTTTGTTACTATAAATAAATGCACTGAACTACAAGGAACTTTCATCAGTAACAAAAATATACCATTCTAAATCAACTTTTCGCGATGTTTTCAAATCACTTCTAAGTTTTAATATTATTAAAAATTAGTATTTACATATAAAAAATTCGCATCGAAGCTAAAATATTGGCTATTTAAGCTAACTCAAATTTAAAAATTACTTTTTCGACTTTAAAAAAGTAAAAAAAATTTAATAAGTTTAATTTCTTATGTCTTATGAACTTTATTCTATGTCAATTAAATTATATAATATTCATGAAAGTCAATTTATTCTCATAATAAGATATTTTAAAATAAAATAAAATACTAAACCTAGAATTTTAATAGAAAAATAGCATATTTTTGAATACGGTAGCCATTTGCGCATAGCAGATAGGTCGTCGGGACAAATTTTTTTTTTTCATTTTATAGTACATAAAATAAGTTTTAATTTGATATATGTTTAAAGGACGCAGTATTTCCGGAACATTTTCAAAAATTTAGCTGAAAAAATTAATTTTTGTAAAAAATTTGCTAATTTAAATCCCCCCCAATGAGCAGAATAAGTGTTAGATTTTCAAAAAAAAAAATTATATCAAACGAAAGGAAATTACCTAAGGTTTCGATATAAAAAAATATTATTTTGATTTGTTAATATTTGAAAAAGNATAAAAAAATATTATTTTGATTTGTTAATATTTGAAAAAGTTATGGAAGTTTTAAGAAAAAAATGACAAAATTTACTGATTTTTAAATTTGTAATTTTTTTGGATATTTCCCCCATTTGCGGGGAACGAGAGAATTTTTTTCAATTTTTAAGGGTAATGTCTTCAACTAGATAC